TGTTACTTCCTTATCGGCTTTATATTTAGAAAATTAAATATGTGCGGTATTAATACTGGAATTAAGAATGCTTAATATACGTGTATATACAGTACAGTACACAGTGACTGATTTGAGCAGCCCATATTGAAGTAGGTACCTGTAGTGTCCCTCATTCACCGTGCGCTAAATATAAAATAGATTCATTATTCAGCTGCTAGCCACAGACAGTCCCTATGGTTCTTTCTGGATCTAAAACACAGGCTCTACTGCCTGCACAAGGTCTGCCTAAATACTGAGTTCTGTAAAGCAGCCCTGAAAAGGACTGCTGACTCCATCTCAGTGTGTATGCCCAATGTTGAAAATGCTAACGTTTAACATTATATATCATGGGAGTTCATGGGCAACACATTTTGATTATATAAATGTCCAGCAAATGAATTGGCTAGTGTGCAACTGGAACATATAGACACTACTTTGTATCAGCATGGTACAATATGAATGTATATTTACCCCTTTGAATGTTCGTAAGCAAAGCACACGCAAGGGCTGAATTTTAAATGCAAAGGCATTTACCTGATGCAAATGTGAAGGGACATATAATTAGAGCCCTACTACATTCACAGTTCATTATGGTCAATTTCATGGTCATAGGATTTTAAAAATAATAAATTTCAAGATTTCATATATTTAAATCTGAAAATTATAATTGTAGGGTCCTGACCCAAAAAGGAGTTGTTGGGGGTTCAAGGTTATTGTGGGGGTGGGGGAGATTGGTTTACTGCTACCCTTTTGTGCTGCTGCTGCTATTGCCAGTGGCTCTTTCTTCAGAGAGGGGCAGCTGGAGGGTGACTGGAGAGGGGCAGCTACTGACTGGGATCCCAGCGCAGAAGGAAGGATGGTCTGGTATGTTATTGCCACCCTTACATGTGCACTGTTGCCTGCAGAGCTGGGCCCTCAGTCAGCAGCGGCTGCTCTCCAACTTCCCAGCTCTGAAGGCAGCACAAAAGTGAGGGTGGTAACTCCGTGACATCCCTAAAATAGCCATGGCCTCGTCTACACTAGAGCAAAAAGTTCATTTAAAATAAGTAGCTCCAGCTACATTAATTACGTGGCTGGAGTCAACATATCATAAATCACTGTCCACACAGTGGGAGGTTGATGGGAGCAAACATTGGCTTCTCTTGCTCTTTGTGAGGAGCAGGAGTACTGGTGCCTATGGGGGTGCTCTCTAAGTTCTATTTACCAGGTCTTCACTAGAAGATCAACTGTGGCAGCATTGAACTTCCATGTAATGTAGACATGGCCCTTGTGGCACCCCCTCATAGCTTCCTTGTGTGTCAGGACCCTAGTTTGAGAAATGCTGCTCTCCCCCATGAAATCTGTATGGAATAGATAAAAGCACACACAAGACCAGATTTCACAGGGGAGACCAGATTTCATAGTCCATGATGCATTTTTCATGGTTGTGAATTTGGTGTGGCTCTCTCTAGTATAGGCCTACAGAGTTTTTCTGGACATCGTGGCTGTGTCTAGACTGGCAAGTTTTTCCGCAAAATCATCTGCTTTTGCAGAAAAACTTGCGAGCTGTCTACACTGGCCACTTGAATTTCCGCAAAAGCTCTGACGATCTCATGTAAGATTGTCAGTGCTTTTGCGGAAATACTATGCTGCTCCCGTTTGGGCAAAAGTCTTTTTCCGAAAAACTTTTGTACAAAAGGGCCAGTGTAGACAGCAGAGATTTGTTTTCCACAAAAAAGCCCTGATCGCAATTTTCGCGATCAGGGCTTTTTTGCGGAAAAGCGTCCTGCCAATCTAGACGCACTTTTCCGAAAATGCTTTTAACGGAAAACTTTTCTGTTAAAAGCATTTCCGGAAAATCATGCCAGTGTAGACGTAGACCATGTTTCCGAAGGCCACTGAAGAGGTTCATCAAGGAAAATGTGGGTCAGCTTTGAAGGTGACAATGTGTATTATTGGAACTATAGTCAATAGATAATGTGAATCAGATTGGGGGGAGCATGTCATGAGAGCCCAGCCATGCACAATGTGCTACAAAAGGGAAAACATAGGATACTGAATGCTATGAAGGTATATTTAATGCCTTATCTGAAAGGGAAGTTCCTTACACAGAGGATGGAAATGTATTTCTGTGGGGGGTTCTAATGGAAATCTAAATTGTTACAGAGCGATTGGCTTTCTAATGCACTGTAAAGAAGGAGGAAGCTTAACGTGCCATAACAAGAAAAGGTAATATAGAACTGTAATTAACATGATGTTGTTTTAATCCACGAAAAAACGCTGTTTGTAGAGCAGGTGTGAAAGAACCTGACTCTTAATGAAGATTGATTGCAAGTCATACTTCACTATTAGTTCTGCTGAGTTTTGTTGGCTATGAGAAGAAAGCAGTGGGGAGGGAGAAAATCATTTGTTTGTGCCGCGGGGTCCCTTGAGTATCCATTCCTCCTCATTCATCTCTGCATGGGGGGATTCTGCTCACACCCAGTGCACTCACTGCTGCACAAAGAGAAGACGGTTGTGTGGGGATCCTAAGACTCTTTCCTTCTCTCTAGGTTGGTCTCTTCCCCATCACCCTGCCATTTCTTTTGCACATGGCAAAATCTAGGACTGCTGAATTCATGCTACACCTTGAAAGAGAGGAAGCAGCCAGGGCATGTTTGAAGGCCTGATGCAACTGCCTTCCATGCCTCTACTCTTAGGGTGTATCTAGACTACAGGGTTTTGTCGACAAAAATGGACTTTTGTCAATAAAACTATACCTGCGTCTACACTGCTGCTGAGTTCTGTCGACATAACGTCGACAGAACTCAGCAGTTTTGTCGATGGCTGTAAACCTCATTCTGCAAGGAATAACGCCTTTTGTTGACAGAGTTCTGTCGACAGAAGGCACTATTGTATCTACACTGTCCTTTACATCTACACTGTCATGTCGACAAAGTGGCTTGCTTTGTCGACAGAACTGGATGTAGTCTAGGTGCTCTTTGTCGACAGAAGCTTTGTCAACAAAAGCCTGTAGTCTAGACATACCCTTACTGTAAAGGTGAATAACAATGCCATCTTCATTTGCCTACCCCCAGCCAGACTGACAAGCAAGAATTCTGAAGTCACTACAAACCAGGACCTCACGCTTAGGAGTTTGCAGCACAAGCCAGCAGGGCACAGAGCTAACCAATCAGAATACATTCTGAACATGCTTCTACTAATACAATCTTCAAAGGTGCCACACAGACTACTGGCTGTGTGGTCTAGTTGGGAGTCAGCAGACCTGGATTTCATTACCAGTTCACCCATTGACTTGCTGTATGATCTTAGGCAAGTCATTTCTCCCCTTCCTCATCTTTCTTGTCTATTTAGACTGCAAGTTTATTAGGAGAGAGTCTGTTTCTCATTAGGTGTTTGTACAGCACCTAGAACAATGGCTGTCCAGCTTTATTTGGGGCTTCTGCGTGCTTCTGTAATACTTAGTAATAATAATAGGGGTTGGGTATCTGAGAACCTGTTTTGATGCTGATGAGCATGGGAATATGTTCAGCTGCAGTGGACTGGAGTAATCAACATCAGTCTGGTGTGGTTCCATTAATGCCTTTCTGATAGCACTAATGTACCCCTATGCAGATGTGTCTGTCTTGTGTAGGGTTCTGCAGGGCTCTTTTGTTCAATGTATGGGTATGTCTACACTACAAAGTTAGTTCGAACTAACGGACTCTTTGCTTTGTGAAGAACAACTTTCTGTTACTACTTTGAAGCCTGCTACCCATTCCTTTCCTTTGGTGTCCTCTAGTCCTTCTTTATGGGAACTAATGAAGAACTTTTCTGTATGCACCCTCTCCCCCCAACTCCTGCTTTTAGAGACCTCTATCCTGTCCCCCCTCCGTCTCCTCTTTTCTAAGCTGAAAAGTCCCAGTCTCTTTAGCCTCTCTTCATATGGGACCTGTTCCCAACCCCTGATCATTTTAGTTGCCCTCCCCTCTCCCAGCCTCTCTCTTCCCCTCTCCCACCTCCTTTTTCCAGTCTCCCCCAGTTTTGTTCAATAAAGACAGATTCCATTTTTGAACACAATTGTCCTTTATTTTGTACATCAAGAAGAGGGGCTAGGGAAGGGTAAGTGGAAGGAGGTGAGGGAGGAATGGGTACGCACCCCCAATGGGGAGGACTGGGCTGGCTCTGCGGGCTTCTGGGGGTGGAAGCTCTCCTGCAGCCCCCCAATTGCCTCCTCTCCCCAGATGGCAGCCTGCGGCAAGTGCAGCCGGGCTGATGGCCGAGCGCTGTGATGTGCCCAGTGTGGGTACTCCGGGCAATCCAAGCCAGGACTTCTTTGCAAGTGGGGCACCCCTGAGAACTGTCTGTCCGGTGTGGGGTTCGGGACCCTTTAAGCACAGCCCTCAGCTAGCCTGTGACAGCATCTCCACGCTCTAAGTCCTCCTCTGATGCCCTGCCGGCACTGCTTCCGGCCATCCTTAAGCCTGGTTCAGGGTCCACTTAATGTGGACATGCTAGTTCGAATTAGCAAAACGCTAATTCGAACTAGTTTTTTAGTCTGGATCCGTTAGTTCGAATTAGCTTACTTCGAATTAACTAATTCGAACTAAGTTAGTTCGACTTAACGTTGTAGTGTAGACGTACCCTATGTGTAAGGCTGCTGGGATACACTGCAAGATAGTTTGGCTGTGATGTCATGGGTAAACAGATGATACACAGCTTGTAGGAAACTCTTACAAACTCTACCATCCCTTTCCTATGGAACACAGATGGCGTAGTGGCTCTCATTTTTCAGTGCCTGGCCAGGGGAGATGAGAGACAATCAGCTGTAGTGCTGTCCAGAGAAGTTTGAGGAGAGTTGAAAAGATTTTCTGTGTCTGTCTGTTTATTTTAAACCATAGTCTAAGTAATGTGGGGTTGACAAGTGGTTCATTATCTGCTCTTCCCCTAGGAACTCACTTCCCAAGCAGCCCTGGTGACCACAGGCACCTTTTTTCATTTGACTGTCAGGTAGAAATGACAATAGCTATCCCCCAGTTTGTGATGTGTGAACTGCATTGCTGCGATGCAGTCTGCATGGCACTGCTGTTGGAAATTACTCTGAAGCTTATGCTCTTTGTGGACATGGCTGCCTGACTGCATAGGTACGTTGGCTATAAGGAGTGTTTTACACTAGCGCTTAGCTGACTGCACTTGTTCCCTTTGTACTTTTAGCTGTTGGAATTGAACATTAACCCCCTCTGTAGCTTGAGTCCAGGTGTCTGACTTTCGGTTGACCTACATCTACCTGCATTTGTGATGCATCCTTAGATACCCATATCTGAGACACTGAATCTTTTCTTGGCTGTGGTTTTGAAAGCTGAGGTCAGCTGTGGTGCTTATTTTAGCAGTCCACAGATTTTACACGTCTACGTGATAGAGTCAGGGATTCCTCAGCAGAGAGAGGCCTTCACTCTGGAATTTGCTTCCTTGTTCTGGTCAGAGAGAACTTGAGTTTGTCACAGTGTTGGGCCAGTGGAGACCCGTTTCTAACTTCAGGTCTTTGTCCCATGAACGGAGCAAGGTGTTTGTGTTCAGTTTCAACTTATTAGGGACTTGGCCTTTCCTTTTTTTCTGTTGCATTCTGTTTCATTGCTCAGTCCAAGCCGTGCAGTGTTTTAGCCCATTATGCTTGTGGCCAAGTGCCTTGGCATTGTGTTAATTTTGCAATTTTTTAAAAAAATGTGGTTGAATTATTTCAGCCTGTCCCTGTAAAATTCTGCAGGACGGGACTCTTGAATGACTGCAGTGGTTTCCAATGCAATTCACTCCCAGAATTTTTGAAAATATTCAGAAGGATAGAAAAGTTGCAAAGCTCTAAGTCTGTAGTTCTGGAGTCTGGGCACCTTTTCCCCTCCACACCTTTGGCAGAAGAGAACCTAGAAGAGCTTCAAATGAGCAATGATAATAATGCCTGCAAATGAACCTGAGTTTGTAAATCTATATAGCAAGCTTCCTCCAATAGGTGATGAGGGTCATATATGTACCTAGATATACTAATCTTTTCAAGGAACATCCTGGAACCGCATAATATTGACAATGCAGCTCACGGGCCACAATGTCAACCTTGCTGGCTGTCTCTCAGTTAAGTAATAAAAGCAAAAGCAGCAAATATTTTACCATAAATGGTTGCAAGAAAGACGGCACATTCAGCGTGTTGCACAAAAGTTAAACAATCTTTACTTTGCCAGGCAGTAGAGAAATTGAACACATTTCTGTCAATTCCTGTTGAGGTCCTCTTCAACAAATACCCTGTCCTCCCAGTAGTTCTATGAATAAATAGCAGAAATGGCATTTGTAATATGAAATATAGTATGAGAATGTTGCCCAGATACTGATGATCAAAACTGCTTGTATTTTTGCAGTTGCATGAGCTGAGCATTCGTGGGCAAAAGAGAGAGCCTGATTCTACTCTCAAACTAATGTAAATTAGGAATAACTAATTAACAAAACCAATGAAGTCACACCAGTGTAAAATCAGACCCCAGAACCAGAGGCAGAGAAGGTGATTTGACCACCAGTAGCTGAAAGTAGAGCTGGCTCAAACTGTTGCAGCAAGTATTTCTTTAAACCTGGGCTAAACTTGGAGTGATCCTTGTCAGAGCTAATTCACAGCTTCGTGTGGAAACTAAAGACAGATTCAACTGGAAAACAAGCTCCAGAAACCACATTGTATTTTGGGGAAGTATAGATCCTGATTTCAAGTTTTCAGCTGGTCCTTACCTAGATCAACAAACACCCTAAAGTTTAGAGTTCTTTAGACTTGGAGGAGTGGCCCATGCTAAAGGACTCTAAACTTTAGGGTGTTTGTTGATCAGAGCTCTGATCTGAATATTCTGTATCAGGCCCATTTCTTGTGGAAACTTTGCAAATAGGAGACATAAACAGGTGCCAAAACCATGTGGATGGAAACTGAGAACTGAAACTGCTGAGGGTTGCACAAGTGAAAATAAAATGCTATCGACAGCAAGTGGCTCACAAGCCATCTGTATTTTTTTCACAATACTTTTTGTTATTTAGTATGTAGGTAGTTAGTATAGGCCAGATCCTGAAAGCTGAACAACTATGGGTGGTTGAGCATAATAAACACCAGGGAAGGTCAAAATTGTGCAGCAAAGTTTCTTACTCTGTTATTCTGATATCCCACCTCCCCCAGTACCTTCATCAGAGTACATCCTGTTTACAAATTTGTACCTGGTATACATCTTGCACACTCACATATTTTTTTTATTATCTAGAGATCATGTGCTATGCACAGTACTAGAGGGTCTCTCCATCTATGATTTTAAAGGCAAATATGAGACAGCAATAAAACATTAGCAAGGATCTCTGACCTACACTGATCATATCAGGGAGGAAATTCTGAATTAAGAATAATTTAATATGGTGTGACATTGTCCTCAGCTCACCCCATTATTCCTATATATTTGTGCACATCTGGCATTAGTACAGTGTGTAAGATTCCCTGCAAAGCTAAAGAGAGATGGATATGGTTTAAGGCCAGTTTTTCAGTCTTACTTTGAATTTCCTCTGTGTGTGAGAGAGAGAGAAAGAGAGAGCAAGCGAGAGAGAGAGTTTTAGATTGGATTTTGAATAGTACTTTTCATACATTTTTTTCCTGTAGTTTTAAAGTGGAACAGTCCAGGTTGTTAGGCCCTCCAAGTGCATGTAATTCAAATGATATTTTCATTGGTTTTTTTTTTTTGGTTTGAAAGCAGCTTTTCTGAAATTTTAATTAAAGAAGCAAAAAGAAAAAAAGGCTAAAATTAAATCTGATTTTTTTCAGATACTCAGTTTATGAGAAAAATTTCAATTTTTTGTCCCAGTTCAGAAAAAAAATGTTTAAGAGCTCAAAAATTCTTTTGGAATTAGAAAGTCATTTCCCACCCAGCAGTAAGATATAGTTTTATGGGACTTTCTTAGGTTTACTTTTCTATCCATGCATGTAGTATAAGCTCAAAGATAAATCTATAAGTGAGAAGACAGGTTAATATAAATGTTTTTGAGTGAATATCTTTTATGATCATTTTTTCCTTCCTTAGCTGATGTCACTATATGAAAAATTTCACAGTAACAACAGCGTGAATGGTAATCGTTCAAAACATAATTGAAAGATTTCAGAAAGCTGAACTGAAAGCATTGTTTGTCAGAGCCTATTGCAAGTATTTTGTATTTTTAAAAAAAAAGTTTATGAAACTTCTGTGACAAGAAGATAAATTATGGAACTCTAAGAACATGGAATTAAATGGAATCAAAAAACTGACAAACAGGGAAGAAGAGAGAGCATATAATTTTAGAACACAAAAAAGGTAACTAAATTTGAAAAATTGCATTAGTATATCATTTTCGGTATATAAGCCATTAGAAAAAAAGTGTAAATTACACCCTGTAACAAAGTAAAAATGTTTTCAATGTTTAAAGGTAATTTTGTATTACTGCTACTATTACTTAAACTCTTAGCTCTTATAAATATCTGAAGACAGGACCCCTGGTGATATTACCTGTGTCTTAGGCAAAGAGCAACAATTTCAATTCCATTCAACTACATTTGTATTTTGCCAAGTGCTATCAAGCACTGAGTTGCATAATTTGCTATCTAAGTGAAATAGATATTTTTTGAGCTGCACATTTATCACTCTCCTGTGGGCCTCGTTACTGACAATCAAATCATAAAAGATGTTCAAAATTGTCATGATGCACTTATTTTCCTCATGATATTCGATACAAATAGTTTCTGCTACAAAAATGGCTTTTTTTTGCCATAACATTTTACTGTCTTTTTGAGTAGTTCTTAAAGATACAGGATCCAGCTCTGTTTTTGTTTTTTTAAGGTTATACATGGGGATAATTATATTAGAAATAAATAATAAAATAGGTGTTTACAGCTGATCCTATTTTCAAATATATCACTCGAACTTCATTTCTAGGAATTCAGAGCAATACACTGAGGATAAATAGGAAAAATACTAGCAAAATCTATTTGTACCTGTAAATTCAGATTCCTTTATTTCTCCTTTTTTTTTTTTTTTTTTAAAGTAAATTCAGTATTGGTGAAAGGATTAGAGAGAGATTTTATTTTCTATCGAGGATGCACAGCACAGGTAATGACAATACAAGCATTCACCACAATACCTCACCCTGCTTTGCAGGGACCAGCATAAGGACAATGTTTACTTTCCAGATCCATTGAACCCCTTCTTTTGTGAGAAGCAGCTTCCAATGAGAATTTCTCTTAATTTAGAGGAAGAACTAGTTTGAGACCAAACTCACTTCTCATGAAGCAACCAATCAGTCATACAAAGAAAAGCTGCAGATCACTACTGCAGTTGGCTGGATCTGAATTTATCACTTAGGCCTGATCTATGCTACAGCGGAAGGTCAACTTAAGATATGCAACTCCAGCAATGTTAATTATGTCATTGGAGTTGACATATCTTCATCACCTTTCAACCCATCCACATTGAGGGAGGTCTATGGGAGCATTTGCTTCCCTTACTCCTCGTGAGGAGCAGGAATACTGGCACCAACAGGGGTGCCCTCTGAGTTTGATTTAGTAGGTCTTCACTAGACCTGCTAAATCAAACACTTGAAGATTGACTGTGGCAGTACAGGCAGTCCCCGACTTACGTGGATCTGACTTACGTCGGATCTGCACTTACGAACGGGGCTTTCTCGCCCCGGAGGTCGAGGTAGCGGATTGCTACCTGCGAGCTCCGGGGCGAGA